TTTTTTATTCAAAAAGCAAAAAATTGCAGTAAGAAAAAATTTTCGGTCATGCCCATGGTTCGTTTTGTCGTACCAAAAAACCCTGGTATACCAATTTTCACTGTTATACATCAAATATTGTCCGAAATATATTAAAAAAACTATTTTAGAAAGTAAATTTAAACGCCCTGTATTTCGGAAGCCACGCATTTTTCGACCCATGTTTATATAGACTTTATGCATTAATTTTAAAAGTTCTATCGAATCTTAAAGTTATGCAACAATAAGCTGAAACACCCTGTATAAGTACTTCCCGAAAAATTGGAGCGCTTGCAAACCTTTGACAGCGTTGTCCTATCTATATAAATAGGCTAAAAGGAATTTTGTTATTTGAGATTGATATTTAGGGAACATGTACGCCATTGTATTTAAGCTTAAACAAGTAGAGCTGTCCTGGAAAAATTTGGCGCCAGTGCAGTTATTACTACCTGAAAAGAAACGATCGTATACTCGTACTTGTTTAGAAATTGATGAATATCCATACACTATTACTCAAGATATTTTAACGTGTTCAGACTATTAAGTGTTTCGGTTTAGGGTAATATAGTTTTCACTATTTTGACTGACAGCTACACGTGTCTTTGAATTACTGCTTACTAGCTTGACGTTCCGGCCACCGTGGTGCCCTTTTCCAATTAAAAACAGTAAATTAATATCTATAACTGTTTTCACTGAAGGACGACGTATATGTCGCTTCTTATATCTATAAAATGTAGCTAAGTGGCAAAGCATTGAATCCATTTCCACGATTATATTTTTCCTTTAAGCTCCCGTAAGAGATCAACTAGTTAAATTATAGTTCTAACCATTAATCGTATAATGTGCTCAAGTCACTTACTCTTCATCAGTTATATTTTTTTCATCCATGATATCATAAACGACTCTGGTAAAATTAAAAACAGACTTTCTCACTTTTGTCATGGGACAAACAGTGACAGCTGGAAACGGGATGGCATGCAGCGGAGACTCCTTGGTTGCAAAGCTTACTATTACTGGGCTTGTGACGTATTTGTAGTATATCCTGATGATCCAAAATCCACAAGCGGCTATTGACAGCGAAATAAGGAGGAACCAAATAATCCTAAAAGGGAATTCAACTCAATTCCTCAGATCACAAATGGAAATAATGACCTTGATTAGAAAACATGGAAATACGATTTTTCTCATATAGATCTAGGTATCTACTTAACACGTTGACTGCTATACCGGTCTCCCGAGACCGTTATCAAACTTCATTTTGATGCGGAGCTGTTTTTTTTCAAATTTCCGTTTTGGTGCGGAATGCATATTTATAGTTATAAATGCGAGACATGTAGCTATAAGATCTAGAGCAGTGCCCACAAATCCTAGTACACAAGCAAATATACCTGAAAATAAAATTGAAATTGTTGAAGCCCAGTCATCAGACGACGGAGAACAAACAAATAATCCTGGAACAAGTTATGTTATAAGTGGAGACGAATTTTCCGACTTTGGGAGTGATGATTCTATCACAGACAAGGACTATTATATATCTTCATCAGATTCTGATGAAAATCCACATAATCTGTTTGATGATACAATCGAAGGTATATATTTCTAACAAAATGCCTGTTTCTGTTAAAATTTCCTGCCTTTTATTTTTCATCTAGGCAGTGCCGCCGAGGCCGATGATTCCGATTCAGATACAGCTAATGATAGTGAAGCTTATGACACCATAGATAATGAAAATGGAAAGATGCCGTCTTTTGTGCTGGATACTAATAACACTGATCAACAGCCAAAAAATATCCTAAATAAAATCAACAAAATATTACTATTTTTAATGTGCTAAAACCGGAATGAAACTTATTTTTTCAGTATTAGTTCAAGTTTTAGGGATACTGAAATTATATGTGTTCCTGCTGTGACAGTGTTAATATACTGTAATTCACAAGAATGCACGTGCTACATTTTTATATTCGGCAAGAAAAGATGATGTAATCGGCATGATTGTGTTACGTTATACATACGTGTACATCATATTGTTTTATATTAGCCATTTTTTCCTCAGTTGGCTGACAGCGTTCATGCAAGATGTCTCGAAAGTGTGTAAACAATCCAGATCAGTTTTGTTACGTGTGTGGTGATGTGACTTTTGCGTCTCAGAGACGGTCTATTACTCCACTAATAACAAAGGCATATCATCTTTATTTCGGTTGTAAACTAGGTGATCAAGACAAACAGTGAGCACCCCACATCTGCTGTAATACATGTGCTTCAAGTCTGAGGAGCTGGTTAAATGGCAAAAAACGGTCTATGCGCTTTGCTGACCCAATGGTTTGGAGAGAGCCTACAAATCATATTAATGATTGTTACTTTTGCATGGTACCTTGTGTTGGACAAGCCACAGGTATGTCCAAGAAAAAAAAATCGGTTATTAACTACCAAAACATACCATCTGCGATGAGACCTGTGCCTCACAGTGACGAAAATCCTATTCCAAAACCCCCAGAATCCTACACTTGCGAATCAGAAAACGAATCAGATCATGACGATCGAGTGATTCGTCAGGAAGAAGATATGCCATCAACGTCAAGAGATCCTGATTTTATACCGAGCACGTCATGCCACCAACCGCACAAAATAACACAGTCAGAATTAAATGATCTTGTAAGAGATTTAGAACTTCCAAAATGTAAGGCAGAGTTACTTGGATCAAGACTGCAGCAGTGGAACTTGTTAGAAGACGATGTTCCGGTATGTGTTTTTCGTAAACGCCACAAAGACTTAGAACCATTTTTCAATATGGAGAATAACTTGGTTTTCTGCAGTAACATTAACGGCTTACTGGCGGCTTTAAATATAAACTATAACCCAGAAGAATGGAGATTGTTTATAGACAGTTCAACATTGAGTTTAAAGGCAGTGTTATTGCATATTGGAAATATTTTACCATCTCTTCCTGTAGGGTATGCAGTTCACATGAAAGAATCATATGACAATATGAAGTACCTATTGACATGCATAAAATACGATGAGCACCAATGGCATATTTGTGGCGATTTGAAAGTTGTTGCACCTTTATTTGGGCTGCAGCTAGGCTACACAAAGTTTTGCTGTTTTTTGTGTGAATGGGACAGTCGGGCAAAGGCACTTCATTACACCAGACAAAACTGGCCTGTTTGTCAATTCCTAGAGCCAGGTCAAAAAATGTACAGCATATGCCATTAGTAGATTCGAAATAAATTTTATTACCAGCACTGCATATCAAGTTGAAAAGAGAAAAACTTTGTCAAGTCATTAGATAGAGATGGGTCAGCTTTTCAATACCTGCGTCAGAAATTTCCAAGACTAAGTGAGGCAAAGGTTAAAGAAGGTATTTTTGTTGGGCCACAGGTACGAATTTTTTTTAAAGATACACAGTTTGAAAACACTTTAACAGGTATTGAAAAAACTGCTTGGAATGATTTCCGTCTGGTGGTCACTAATTTCTTGGGAAATAGAAAAGCTGACAGCAATAAAACCCTTGTCAAAAATATGCTGTCATCGTATCAAAAGACGGGCTGTAATATGTCTCTTAAGATACATTTCCTACACTCACACCTGGACTTGTTTCCTGACAATTGCGGAGCCGTAAGTGATGAGCACGGCGAACGTTTTCATCGGGATATTTCAACAATGAAAAAAATGTACCAGGGAAAGTGGAATCCTTCCATGCTTGCAGACTACTGTTGGACTCTTGGTAGAGATGCTCCAGAAACGAACCATAAAAGAACAGCAAAAAGACAGCGCATTATAGTGATTCTTATAAGTATATGAATCTTGTTACTTTTTTTAATATATCCTTAAAAATAAAAAGTTTTTTTTCTAAACCGCAACTAATTTTTTTATTTCATTGTCATTTTTGGATTCAGCGCCCCAAAATTAACAAAGAAGTGCACTTTTCCCACAAGATACAATTAAAAAACTAAAATTTGTTGTCCAGTGAATTGGCAAGACATTGTTCAATGGCAGTTAACTTTCAACATCTGTAATGAGTCGCCTGAACTTAATTTTGACGTGAGTCAGATTCTAAGTCCACGGGATGCCTACAAACTTTTTGTGACAGATGAACTTTGGCACATCATTGTTGAAGAGACGAACACATTCGCCCAACAAAGCTTAGCAGGACGTAGGAATTCGAAGTCCACGTTACATGTTTGGGTGGACACAGATAAAAACGAGCCCATGCGTTTTTTCTCAGTTATTCTAGTAATGGGTTTTAACTCGCTTCCGTCAGTTAATTCCTACTGGTCAAAAGATCGTATGTTCAGAAATGAGCTTATAGCAAAGACAATATCACGTGATAGATTTCTCCTTTAACTTCGATGTTTACATTTTTGCAACAACGAAGACCCACTTTTGTATACTAACGACCGGTTGTACAAAATCAGAACAGTATTGGAAGTACTTAACAGGAACTTTCAAAATCTTCAAAAGTTATTATATATATATATACAGGAAAAAATGAAAAGTTTGAAGGCCAACAGCATTCAGAAACGATGGTTTTAGAACTGCTAAAATCCATGAAAGCTAAAGAAGGACATTATCTTTTTGCAGATAATTTTTATAGCAGCTTGCCTTTAGCTAAAAAAAACTATTTTATGAAAAAATTGTCCACTGCGGAACACTACGTGCAAATAGGAAAGGAATCCCAGAATCTAGCCAAAAAAAGTTGATAAAGGGAAAGACGTATGGTCAACAAAATGGATGCGTTAAAATTATAAAATGGGATGATAAACGACCAGTTTTAATGCTGACTACAGATCCTACTGATGTCAGCACTGTCCAAGAAACTGGAAAAAATCAAGAAAGGGTGAAGACATTCTAAAGCCCAAGTGTGTTCATATCACTCTGTTCTACGTCGAGGCCTGAAATGGCACAGGAAAGTTATGAATGAATTTCTATTTGGAACATGTGTTGTAAATGCCTGCATTATTTTCAACCGCATTTCAAAGAAAATGTCGATAACGGATTTTAGAAAAACTTTAGCAGAACAGTTAAGATATCCTCCTACAGTTGTTTCTGAACCAACAACGCGTAAAAGGATACACACTCAAAAATCCAACTGGCCCAGGAAGAAAAAAAAAAGATTTGTAAAGGATGCTACCAAAATCTTCGGACAGCATTATCAAGCCGTGAAGCCAATAAAAAAGTCACCAAAGTAACGAGTTTTTGTGAAGATTGTCCCGGAAAACCTGGCATGTGTCTTCCTTGCTTTAATAAATTACACACATAGTGGAAACCTTTTCTTGGCTTACATCTTTGAATTATATTGTATGGTTTTAGTGACAAAATATCAAAATTTAAAATAAAATGAATATTCCATAGTGTTCTTTTTATGCTTAAAATAAATTTAGCCATTGATGCGGTATAAGTCGTCAGCGACCTATACGGAGCCAGACTTACGTTCACCTAGAGTATATTTACAGATGTCTGCAATAGTTTTCTGATTCTGGTTTAAACAAAAAATGTTAGAGGGCTCTAGGTAAAGACTTGCCTATCGGACTCCGAAGAACGATACCGTGTCAGAATAATAGCATGCTATCGGTCCCGGGCGACTTATATCGCATTGAAGAAATAGTGCCATTTCTTTGCAACGCAGTCAACGTGTTAAAAGATGCTCCACAACCAAAGGAGTTTCAAAGTTTCTCTTGTACCAATATATATCCCTTATATCAACGGTTTTTATCAAATGAAGGTGATTAAGTTCTTGGATCTGAGAGAACGTGGTATACAGTTCAAAAAAATTGATACATAAACATAATTAAAAAAATGGCATTTACCTTTCACATAGTGTCCGATTCTCTGCAAGGTACTTGAAACCATGGATACTTGTATTTTCACAGTACCCTCTAAAATACCTTCTGGTACCATTTAAGTGAAATTTTGCTTCTCTCTTTCTGACATTTTTATCTTGCCTATTACTTTGCGAAGTTGGATCTTTGAGGTCTTGGTCAGAAAGCTCGACTCCATTTGATATCGCATAAGGCATTATCGAATGATTCATATGTGAGTTGATAGCGTGAACTGTACAAGCTATTAGCATAGTAATGGTGCTTATGGGTATTTCTATTCGCACCTTAACCGTGTTTAACATGAGGGTATTGTCCCCTAGAGGATAGGGCTATATTTTGAAATTATCTTTTAATTGTCATCTAGGTGCAAAATGTACTAATTGCTTAACTGCAAAAAGTGAATTGCATTTTCTGGGTGGGTTATAGCTGGTCGCGTCCAGCGTGGTAAATGAGGGCTCTAAATTACATAAAACTGCATAATAGCGATACTAGGAAACTCGTAAAACTGCTCTAAAACTTTTGTCACATTGTGTCATATGCGTGCCAAACATTATTTTTTTTATACGAGATGTAAACGAAACATAGTTAGATACTTCTAGTTTAAAAATTGTACAACCTAAGATTGCAACAGATTCGTACAGATAAAAATACACAAGTTCTGCCAGAGATAAAAGAGAAAATCCAGTAAACAATCCGAGAAGGCCTCCAAAGTTAGCCATGAAATCAGTTAGTCCATATAATTCATTTCTCTCTAGTGACAACATGAATCCTTCTCGGAAAAATACCGACAACATAGAAATACCTGAAACAGTTAGATTATTGTTAACGTTCATAAAGTTCACAATAATTTCATCTTGTCCTCTGTCAAATGAGCCGTTCGTGAACATGAATAAGTCAAATAGTCACGTAGAGGACAACACATGTTCTTAATGTGACAGCTATTGTGCTTATATCCCAGCCGCACGCCCATGTGCGTTCCGAGGTTCGGCTGGCGTGCGCACGACTTCATTTTGTACGCTAATAGCGTGCTCCTCAGCGTGCTTCCTTGTTTCATCGCCATCACTCAGTGGAGCATCCACTAGCGAATACTCGAATCTCAAGTGCAATAGTGGAACAGTAAGTATCCTATTGTTACTTTATATTGTGTGGTTTATACATTTTTATGTCATATCCGATAGCTAAATATATTTAGCTACTCACTACGGACATTCAGCACTGTCTAACGCATAAGCCGCCAAGCGCCCCACTCGCGCAGTTCCTCGGGAGACTTCCCAGTGTCGATGCGCTTACACGTAACTATAGTGTATTTACACCCAAGATAGAATGGATGCGTGATCGCCAAAAGCAAGGACGGCGTACAGGGCCGCAATCAGGGCTACCTCCGAATGATGGACTACCACCAACGTGTTGTAAAACAAATATGACAGTATTTAACAGAAACTTAACAAATTACTCAAATACACTTAACAACAACAACAGCAACAACCAAGCAAGGTGAATACGAAAACACGAGCACGCAGTGATACACGCGACGTACGGTGGCCTGAGTGCAACTCTGCCTGCCCTGCCCCTGCCCCGCGCATTATTCCGCCAGGCGACCGCTTGAAATTTAATGGCGAATTGACCAATAAGAGGCGTTGTCCCCAGCTGTTACCGAGAGATCACGCGCTAACTGTTATTATTTACATCTCATCTTGAATTTGGATTCAGATTAGTTGATTTCCTACGACCCTCGTCCAGAGGTTGCACGGCCGTCTATCGCAACACCCAGAGCCGTCGGGCCCAATCTACCTGGCCGTCGGACAAATGTTCCACGGCTCACGGGCGGAACTCCCAGCTCCGTCGGGGTAAATGTACGTTGCCGTTGGACAAAGGCTTCACAAATGACAAACGGATACTCCAGGGCCGTCGGGCCTAATCTACGTGGCCGTCGGACAAAGGTCCCACGGACAGAACTCCCAGGGCTGTAGGGCCCAATCTACGTGGCCGTCGGACAAAGGTTCCACTGCCCACAGGTGAAACTTCCAGGGCTGCTGGGCCCAATCTACGTGACCGTCGGGCAAAGGTCCCACGTCCCACGGGCGGAACTCCCAAGGCCGTCGGGTTCAATCTACACTGCCGTCAGACAGAGAAAATGTTCCAAGGCCCACGGGCAGAACTCCCAGCGCTGTCGGGCCTGATCTGCGTGGCCGTCGGACACCGGTACCATTGCCCACGAGCGGAACTTCCAGGGCCATCGGGTCCAATCTACGTGGCCGTCGAACAGAAGTTCCACTGCCCACGGCGGAGCTCCCAGTGCCATCGGCATCATTCTACACTGCCGTCGGACAAAAGTTCCACAGTAGACGGGTGGAACTCCCAGCGCTGTCGGGCCCAATCTTCGTGACCGTCGGACAAAGGTTTCACGGCCCACGGGCGAAACTCCCTAGTTGGTCGGGCTTAATCTACACTGCCGTCGGACAAAGGTTCTACAGTTGACGGGTGGAACACCCAAGGCTGCCGGGCCCAATCTACGTGACCGTCAAACTAATGTTCCACGGCCCACGGGCAGAACTCCCAGCGCTGTCGGGCCCAATCTACGTGGCCGTCGGACAAAGGTTTCACGGCCCACGGGCGGAACTCCCTAGTTCGTCGGGCCCCATCTACGTGGCCGTCGGACAAAGGTTCCACTGCCCACAGGTGAAACTTCCAGGGCTGCTGGGCCCAATCTACGTGACCGTCGGGCAAAGGTCCCACGTCCCACGGGCGGAACTCCCAAGGCCGTCGGGTTCAATCTACACTGCCGTCGGACAGAGGTTCTACAGTTGACGGGTGGAACTCCCAAGGCTGCGGTTCCCAATCTACGTGGCCGTCAAGCAAATGTTCCAAGGCCCACGGGCAGAACTCCCAGCGCTGTCGGGCCTGATCTGCGTGGCCGTCGTTCACCGGTACCATTGCCCACGAGCGGAACTTCCAGGGCCATCGGGTCCAATCTACGTGGCCGTCGAACAGAAGTTCCACTGCCCACGGCGGAGCTCCCAGTGCCATCGGCATCATTCTACACTGCCGTCGGACAAAAGCTCCACAGTAGACGGGCGGAACTCCCAGCGCTGTCGGGCCCAATCTACGTGGCCGTCGGACAAAGGTTTCACGGCCCACGGGCGGAACTCCCTAGTTCGTCGGGCCCAATCTACGTGGCCGTCAAGCAAATCTTCCACGGCTCATGGGCAGAACTTCAGCGCTGTCGGGTCGGGCCTGATCTACGTGGCCGTCGAACACCGGTACCATGGCCCACGAGCGGAACTTCCAGGGCCATCGGGTCCAATCTACGTGGCCGTCGAACAGAAGTTCCACTGCCCACGGCGGAGCTCCCAGTGCCATCGGCATCATTCTACACTGCCGTCGGACAAAAGTTCCACAGTCGACGGTCGGAACTCCCAGCGCTGTCGGGCCCAATCTACGAGGTCTCCGGAAAAAGATTCCACGGCCCACATAGATGAAGTGAAACGGAGTATAGTCTCTAAAGAGGAAGCGACCACTTGATTGAAAGGAGAGAACAAAGAGAATTTGATGAGAAAGAGAAGAGCTTCGTCGACCAAATGGAAACGCTTAGAGAAAACCAAGAAAGTAATCTCAAGTTTAAAGGTTTTATCTTATGCCCAGCATTTGGCTCTAACACTACGAATAACCCATCTGGCACAGCTAAAAGGTATATTTCATTGGCAGCAGCATATTCAGTAATAATTTTCTCACACCGCAAATATCACTGATTTTATATACATGCAGATCAATACACACAATCACCCGGATGTAATCTTGCTACTCTGCTACTCAACCACACATCTTCTCAGAGAATACTCTACAGGTTATCTCAGCATTCAGCAGCCAACAAAGCATAATGGTGAACCGACTTGCAGCTTGCATCATGGTCATTGAGCGAGTCGTGTCGTTGAGTTATTCCTCTATAGACGGGTGCTTTTGATGACGCTCACAGCGCTCATAGAGAGCAACCTATTTATACACTAGGAGCTCTCTAGGCATTAATTTGACATTTTGTCGATTTTTTTTAAGCTGTCTAGGTTCTTTAAGTAAGAGCCCTGCTGGGTTGAAAACTTGCCTCCTCGGGGCGTACATGAACCTGCGGCTAGGGATGAGGACTGAAAAGGCTGTTCTATATGTAGGATAGCGAGAAAAAAGACAGGACACAATCTCCGAGGGTCAGGCCTCGGCTAGACCCTACATATCCGTTTTTTGACTTTCGGAGGAAGAACGGTTCTATAATTTATTTTTATAGTTAATGTCAATTTCACATTTTGAATGGCCCAGCCTGTACATTGTTACGTCAATAGACTCAAACTATATAAGAAATTGCCCTAAATCGGACGTACGTG